TCTACTCGGACTACCACTCTGTTGCGACAAACACGTTTGGAGACAGTGCGGACCCTCGCTATAGCGCCGAGGAGATTTTGAAGCTCGTTGCGCATCAAGAGCTCCGAAGCCTGTGTTGGACGAGCTACGACGACAATGTTCCCTTCCAACACATCATGACCCCACTCCTCGTCCAAAACATCATGGCCAGTCTTGAATACCTCAAGCTCTTCTCACCCTCCTCATCCCTCCACCACCTCAATACTGCCCCCTCAAGCTCAATCTCTGGGCTAGGCTTCAGCATGAACATCCACCTCCCTTCCCTTTGTGCACTCAAGGTGTCGCTTGACAACGACGCCCTCGCCGGGCTTGCAGCTTGGAACATGCCCAATCTCACAACCCTCTCTGTTCTCTCTTTGGATTTTTCTCATACCAGGGAGGGCTTTTCAGCCTTTTTGCGATCACATGGTTGCAGTCTCACTCAGCTCGAACTCAGCCACACATCCTCCATAGTTGACAACTATTATCTCACAACACCCCGGCACAGGCTGCAAAGCCTACAAGACCAACAGCAGCCAGTCCCCATCGCGAAGTGGTGCCCAAACCTGTGCGTCTTCATATGTGCGGCCGACGCTGAATGGTACTGGCGATACCCAGACTGGATTCCGCCTCACACCCTGCTAGCCTCGCATCCAAAAATTCAGTTCGTTGGCATCCGCGACTTCAGCACGCAGCTGACATGTGGACGGCTGTCACCGCTGTTGTACTCCACAAATACCTCAATCTTTGGCGAAGACGAGCCAGCAGACACAACATACCAGCTGCTTTGTGAACAAATTCGCCTCCTGCTTCATCCCGGTTCATTCCCTAACCTCCGCCTCATCCGTGATCTCTCTTTCGTAAATCACCACGTGTTTGCAGCCAAACCCAGCCACCATGTCTCGCAGCTATGGGCCAAGGTCAGGAATGAATGTGAACGAAGCGGAGTATCATTTGAGGTTGGCAGGGGCATTAGCATCACACCCTAGTGGGACGTATCAGCAACAGCACCTCTAACAGCACCCCCTCTTCCCACAGCACACCACATCTCTCCTATATAAACTCGAGTCCACCTAGTCACCAAAGCGCACACCTATACAGGCCCAACTCACTGCAGTAGTGCCGCTCGCACGCATGTGACCTTGTTCTTCCCAGATCTACGATACTGTTCACCTCCGCCTCCCTCCCTTCTCACACACATTACACCCTTCAATATTCCCTTCCTTGCCTCAACCTTGCCTCTCCTTCTCACTGCCTCCTGCTCACTCCTTTTCATATTTCTCGAAGATAGTGTTATGGCTTCACCCACTCGTTCCTAGAGCTTTGATCAAATCCAACCGCCTCTTCTACCTCTCATCCACATGCTAGGGGTGTTTGTCTGCATCAAGGCATACAACTGCACGTATACCAGCAGCCTTCAGACTCTGGAGTTGCACAGCAAGCAGCTATATCTGCCCAAATTGAGTTGCAACAGTGCTAGGTGAGCCTCCGCATATTGCCTTGTACTTGTGAGCTAGCACAAATCAAGAAGCTCAGCTTGGGGAGGCAATCATTAAGGCAGACAGATGCTAGAGCAGACATGCAGAAGACGCAGAAACAACTCATATATTTTGAGGCGCTTAATATACGCTACTTCTTCATAGACCATGACGAAAACACTCGATCAGCCTCTAGATCCTGGTAAAGGGAGAGGCGACAAAGCTGATCTTTCCAGTGATCACCAATCACCCCCTTCTTACCCTTCTTCCCATCGTAAACAGCTCTGTCTTCTACTAGCTGGTTGACCCGTTGGCCCTTGTGTTGAACGTAGCGGACAATGCCGCCAGGTACGTACTGTGTGATCGAGCATCTCTCCTCTCCAGGCCCAATAGGGGTGTTGCCGTGCTGAATTGAGGCTGAGGAGATGAGAATGGTACATCCAGACGGAAATCGGATGTAAAGCTTGAGTGTCGGCAGGTAGAGGTGGCCGCCCCTGTCGCAGTCAAAATTCCCAACAGCTGTGATGGCGCATGGCGTGCTGGGGTAGTTGAGATTGTCGACATGGTCAACGCAAACGGTCTGGGGCCCAATGTTGAAGGCGCATGCGGGGTAGATGCTGAGGCCAGGAAAGTTTGGGCGTATTTTGGGGAAGAGCTTATAGAAATCCTGCATGATGAAGTGGAGGTGTGCGTAAACGAGGGGGAAATTGGACGCCATTCCCTCTGACCCAGATCAGCTAGGGCCATCGGGCAAGCAGGCAAAGAGTACTCACTGCTTTGATACTGGCAGATGCGCTTTATGTCGGGGTTCTCAAGGATATCCTTCTCCTTCTTCGCAACCCATGCGTCCAGCTTACGACGCAAGGGCTTCTACAAAGAGAGCCTCATCAGTACTGGCCGCAGCTAACGCATGTGGCAGGGCCTACCTGGCTGCCCATCCCCATGGTCACACCGGTATTGATAGTGATGAACCTGCCGCGGCGGCGTTGGTGCACGGCGCGCTGGCGCCTTTCATACTCCATTCGGAGATCCGCAAAGAGCTGGCGAACGCGAAGGAGTACCGCATTCCAGTGGTCCTCGTCGCCCACGTCCTTGTCGCTCTCATCGGGAGGGGGTATGAGGACAGCAACGATGCGGCCGTGCTTGTCAAGCACATGGTGGAGAGATCTGGAGGGCGGTCAGACAAATGCAGATCTCCAGAATCGAATTGAGTGCTCACAGCCCATCCCACTTGAGATACGCGTAATGAAGCGCCTTCAACTCCTCCTTGGTCAGGGGCAGGCGCTCCTCATCCGCCCACTCCTCCTCCTCCTTCCCGAGATCCGTAGCTCCACCGTGGGCCTTCTGCTCCTCGAGGCCTGCCGCACCATCGCTGGCCTTGTGTGGTTCAGTCGAGGCGCTGGGGTCCGGGTCGGCCTGGCGGGCGCGTGCCGGGATGCCTCGCAGGGATGTGTATGACCACCCGTCGACGCGATACTCGTCGGCAGAGAGCTGGACAACGGTGCGGCCGCCCCCCATATGCCTCTCGAAAAACGCCTTCCCCTTTGGCGGCTCAGGCAGGGGATAGAAGGAATTTGAGGCAGGGTGGGCGGCCTTTGCTGCCTTCACCGCCTTGTCCCTCTCGTGCTTCTTCCTATTTTTCTTCGCCCTCCCTGCCTCCGTCAGCCAGCGCTTTCGCCGCTTCTTCTTCTCGCCAAGAGCGGGCACATCGGACTCCTCGCCTTGATCTTGGGGGCCGCTAGGCGTGGCGGACGCAGCCGCAGCCGAAGTGCCTTTGGGGGAAAACGCAGAGGTCGGCCACATGGCTGGAGCAAGTGAGGGGAGCCATGCTGTCGTCAACTCGGTGCTTACCGAAACCATCATCCAAGGCCTCTAGATCCGAAAGTGAAGAGAGACTGCTGAGGTCGCCGTCGCCATCACTTCCATCGGGCTCGTCTAGCTCATCGACGCCGGTTGCTAGCTCTTTGTCGACCCGGTGCTGCTCGCGTTCTTCCGCCGCACGCAGTGCCTCTTCGAAGGAGTAGCTGGCCAAGGTGCAGGGCGTGCAAGAGGGAAGCGCGAAGCTCGCCTGAAAGTCTTCACGAGAGGGCCGGTCGTTCTGCAGGGTTCGGGAACGTCAGCGCATCGCAGCCCCTCGGTTGAACGGGATGAGCCAAAGGGACCTATCGCCGTGGGCCAGCACTCCGTAGAGCACGACGCCGCGGCAGACGGCGTCCGGAGGGCACCCAGAGTGCCCCGAAATCAGGCGGCGAGCACGATGCGGCGACAGGCGGCATCCGGGGGACGCCAAACGCCCGCAACGCCGGCCACAGACTGCCTGCGATGGGCCCCGTCTTCCGCAGAGCACGACGCCGCGACAAACGGCGTCCGGAGAACGCCATACGCCAGCAGCGCCCGCCTTTGGGCCAGGGGATGCCCCGAGGGAGCCGCGGCACGCGATGTTGCGACAAACGACGTCCGGAGGACGCCAAACGCCAGCATCATCGGCCGTGAGCAGCCCTGTGACGGGCTCCATCGACCGCAGGGCGCGACGCCGTGGTAAACGGCGACCGGGGAATGCCCTTGGCCCAGGGGATGCCCGCAATCGGCTCGCGAACGCGATGCTGCGACAGACGGCGTCCGGAGGACGCCAAACGCCCGCAACGCCGGCCACAGACTGCCTGCGATGGGCCCCGTCTTCCGCAGAGCACGACGCCGCGACAAACGGCGTCCGGAGAACGCCATTCGCCAGCAACGCCCGCCTTTGGGCCAGGGGATGCCCCGAGGGAGCCGCGGCACGCAGGAGTGGAAGGGAGAACGCTGGAAGAGCGCAGGCGTTGAAACACTCACCTGTGGTTCAGCCATGTTGCGCAGGATGATTTGAGGGCTAGGAGGACGCGAAGGGCGACCAGGCGTAGGGCGACCAGGCGCGGCGAGGATGCGTCCTCAAGTCTTGGCGCTCAGCACTAGGACTGAGAGGGAGAAGGCAGCTGGGAGCTGTGAGGGCCGGGGCAAGGGTGGTTAGAGAGAGCGGTGTTGAGGCCCGTACGTTGAGGAGCAGAAGCGGGCGCGTGTTGGGGGCGCAAGAGGGGACGAGGGCGGGTGGCCGGGGTGAGATAAGGCCTGAGGATGATGGGCGGCGGTGGACCTTGCGTCGCCGCGCCGTCGACGGCGCCCAAATGCCTTTGTTCTCACCCGTTTTTTACTTGCTAGGCGGCCGCCGATCAGTAATTTAGCACGTGTCAGACAGGGTCTGTTCTGACCCATCCTACCTCGCCAAATTTGCCATCCGACTTTGCGGTATCCTCGTAGTCTGACATTCAGACCTCAGTCCTACTTCGGTCTGTGGGAGACCGTATCCTGCGCAGTGTGGGCTAAACCGGGTATTGAAATGTGTAGATTGAGTGATGTATACAGGCACGTAGCTGCTCTACCTAAACAATGCCCAAGCAGCCGTCGCACATGGAGCCCCCTCGGTAGCACGAGGTGCGTCGTCTTCGACACCGCGCTCGTCCACCCCATGGCATATGCGCGCCGTCCTCCGCCGCGTCCCCTTCTATGCCCTTGTAGCCTGTCGCGCGCGCATCCACCTCCTTCATCCACGCACAGTCGCACTCGATGACGTCGTCCCACCGCCCCACCCAGAACCCGCGGAACATGCACTTCCACGTCGCCCTCGCCCTGCCCACATATTCGCAATCGGCTACTCGTGCCCGTCCCACAGGCTGGGGCGCGATCTTGAGGCCGCACCCTGAGACGTCGGCGCGGCGGTCGAACACTTGGTGCGCGAAGAAGCCGAGGTCTTCGAGCGCGGCCATGGGCACGTCGCCGTCGCCGACAGGTGTGGCGAAGACGGGCGTGTCGTCCGGGCGCCGTCCCAGTGGGCCGAACATCCACTGCGCGGAGGTGGGGGTTGGTTTTGATGCGTGGCTGGGAGATCTATGTAGGGAAGGACTCACCAAGAGGAGCGTCGTCATGCACGGCCTGGAGGTGACACAGGTGAGGCGCGCGAGACGGCTGAAGCGGGCGGGTTGAGTGATGCGGGCGCAGCGAGACACTAGATGTGAATGTCGCGGGTGAGGTGGGTAAGACGAGTGACGCGGTCGAGAGCGATGTGGGCTGGTTTTAGTTGGTAAGCGTGAGCGCAAGGGCAATGGAAGGTAGCCGGGGACTTACCTTCCTGGATCCACAAGGGCGACTTGAGGGTCTGATGTGCAGAGATTCAGGTGGGTGGAATGTCTGCAGAAAACAAAAGGAAAATACTCACCTACCGTGGTGCGCGGCGCGCCAGTGGGGCTGTTGTTAAACAGGCGGCAGAGCTTCACGCCGGAAGAGTTCGCCTTCCTGCTCGAGCTCGCAGATGCGAATCGGCGGCCGGGGGATCGCGGCGACCTGCACGGGAGGCGTGAGCGAGTTGGCGACGCGGGTAAGGCAGGCGAGGCCAAGAGTAGGGTCTACGAGGACGGTGGGGGCTACGAGGACGGCGACGAGAGCCAGAGAAGAGAAGACATGGTCGAGGATCACTGGGCGCAGCTGGAGACGCCTCGGGGACTCGTGGGAATCGACGCGCGGCGCACGGACTCTAGCGCCTGACACTGCCGGCACATGACGTCGTTATCCCCTTGGCCTCCCAGTTCTCTTCCTCGCACCTTTGCCCGTTCCCTCTCGCCACGGCCTCCAAGCTGAACGGCGCGCACGATACCACCCGTCTCTCCCCTGCTCGTCTCTCACCATCCCCCAACCGAACGACCCCGTCTCAGGTGGCCTCGAGAGTCGATGCATGCCTGTTCATCCTTGTCGCGCTCCTTGTCCCGCCTGACGGCGACGCACCTTGTCAAAGTGCGTACGCACCCCTTTTTCTGCGCGTACCTTGATACAGACTTCTAACCACCAAGGAGCCGACAGCATGATTGTTCGCCCCGCCCCGCCCCTCGCGCCCTCATGCTCGCCCGGAGCACCTCCTGCACTGGCTCCCACCTGCCCATCCCCATCGACTCTGTCGCAAGCAAAGCAAAATAAAACTACCCACTGTCGTGCGTGCCCTGCGAACCGCGCGGGGTCCTCCGCCTGCCCCTGCACTCGCCCGTACCACGCCGTGCGCCGCGCAGCCGGCGGAGGCAGGCGCCCGCTCCAGCGAGCAGGACGCGCATCCTGCGCAAGACGAGCTTATCGGCGGCAACGTGCCGGCGGTCCACGAACGTGGGTGCCTGCTGCACCATGATGTCGAGTGCGCCCACACCCGCCCGCGATCCAGCTCACATCCGCGCTGGTTCCTCCGATTCCAACACCTTCTCCCGCGCCAGCACGAGCGAGATCGGGATGACAGCTCACTCCAAGTCGCGCCCTGCGCTCCCCCAGGGCTGTTCGGCCGATGCGCCCCTCCCACATCGACGTCGTCCCTCCCTCTGTCCTTCCATCTTCGATCCTCCGGGCCCGAGAACGCGTGGCCAGGCCCCATCCTCTCTCGCTCTTCATCACCCCGCTCCCGCCCCAGCCCCGGGACTGCTCCTGCACCACGCCGCCCTCCCTCCTCCTCCTCCCACTCGCCTATTCGCCTCCACGCCAGCCGCCTCGACGACCCCCACAACAGGCCGCTCCGTGTACCTCTCCCGCCCAGAGAACCTCGGCGCTATGGGCTGCGTTTGCACGGCGGGCAACTTAATGGCACGGCGGGCCCCGCACGCGCGGCGGGGGCGGCGGTCAGGGCTTGGGGGCCTCCGCTGATACATCCACCTGGCACATCTCCAGCTCGCGTGCCGCTGGGAATGCCCCGCGCGTAACTAGCGCATCGAACACCTGCGCCGCGTTGTTCGCGTCCTCTCACGCGGGGCACAATGTGTCTTTGAGAGACCGTTTGCACGCGGCGGAGACGATCGTCAGGGTGCGAGAGCATCCGCTGTAGTGCGGGCAAGTGTAGGCTTGAACGCCTCCGCTGGCGCATCCGCATAGCACATGACCAGCTGACATGCTGCTGGGAACATCTTGCGTGCGGCTGGCGTGCGGCTGGCGTGTCGAGCACCGGTGTCTCGTCCTCCGTGTCCTCCGTCCTCGCACACGGGGCACCCGGGGTAGAGCTTCTATGTCGTTTGAAATGTACACTGTAGCATACAGCAAAATACAACCTTGTTCAAGCGGCTTAATTGTGTGGCACGACTATGTATGTGTTACAGTGCAGGCCAAATGGGTGCTGAGCACCAAAAATCAGATTGTCAGATGGGTTGGATGAGGGCCAGACGTCGGACAGCCCAAAAGTCTGCCAAATTGCTGGTGCACCCCACCTGCCTGGCCACCATCGCCGCCACCCGACCACTGGTGCGCAGACCGCGAGGTGGGCGAGCACGAGCTTGATGAGCTTGAGCATACACAGGTGGGCCTGGCACGGGTTCACTGTGTTTTGCCCACAACATGTGTGCGTGCAGCTCGTCTGTTTGCCCATTCGTGCTAGCCCCCGGAGTCCCTGGGTCTCTGAAGTTCCCTGAGTATCTGAGATCCCTGAGATTTAAGGTTTCTGTTACGGTTGTGGAGTGCGGGAGCGCGGAGGTTGGGCGAGTCGGAGACAAGCAGAAAGGCGGGATCAGATCAGAGGACACGCTTGATCTCAGAGAGGCTCATGGTAGCGGGGAGTGTGGGTAGGAGAGGCGACGGGGAGAAGCCAGGAGGCAATTGTGTGGCGAGACAGTGAAGCAGGTGCAAGAATATAAAGGTAAGGTGGTGGGTGATTGTATGCTAAGCATCTGTTACAGGTGCATGCCGAAGCTCGTAACTGGACAGGTGGAGCAGGCCATGACAGTTTCCGGGATCTAGGGTTCAATTGGGAAGTTACTGATCAGCACCCGCCCGCCATCCACCCATCTGCCGATGAAGGCAGCAACTAGCTCGAGTCAGATATGAGATGCAATAGCAATGGTACGTCTAGCTGACAAAGAAGGCTCAACAAAAAGTGTCTACTACCTCAGCATCTTCCTCCATCAGCCTCATCTCGATCTCCTCTGACAAGGCCTGGAAGGAGAGAAGCTCGTGGTTGAACCCATACTTGAGGACCTGTAAGGCCTCTACCAACTCTACGGCAAGGTGGTTCCTGCGAGGGGTGATAGTCTCCTTGCTCGAGGAGAAAATCCGCTCGCACTCTACAGCCCCTGCTGGAGCTGGTAGAACGTCCATGGCAAGACGGTGGATCTTCGGGTATCACGCCTTGTGTAGCTGGGGAAAGGGCAGTAAATCAAGCAATCCCTGAGACATGAGTGTTGAAGGAATACTAGACTCACCTGCCAGAAGGCGAGAACGGAATCCTGAGAGCAGAATGTGAAGTCTTCACTGAGGTATGCCTCCACTTCTTGGAGAGCAGAGGGCCCATTGCCGACCACCCGAGGCTGTGCATCGACAGGGCTGCGAGAAGTGAGATTCACATCCAAGAACTGGGCCATTTCCTCCGCTGTGGTCAAGTCAGAGGCTGCGCCCACAGAGTTTAGGGTGAGGGAAGGGCCAGCTTCTGTGAGGTGCTCCTCGTGTCGGGCTTGAACCTATGGGTAGAAAATGTCTATAAAGATGCTGAGGTGCGAGGGGTAGAAAAGACAGCATACCCCTGCAATGAACCGCTTTTTAGCTGCCTTATAGCTCACATTGGTGTCACCGCCAAGCGAATAGAAGGTGAGCTTCATGGCTGGGTTAACAGCTACAAAGCGGTGTTGGCATCAGTAGTAAAAGTGCAAAAAGGCTGCAGCTTACCCATGGCAAAAAGGTAGATGTCTCGGTCGGAGCAATTCTTGAAGTACTTGTTGAGCTTAGTAAGGCCCTTCCGAGCAGCGTTTGCGAGCTCAGGATCCTCGCACTTCTCCACAAGTGCACTCCATGCCAGCTTCACCTTGTAAAAGCAAATCATCACCTTGGTGATGGTGATGTTATTGCCTGACAAGGCCTGCTGGTACTGGTTGGGAATCTAGGAAGACATCAGAGATGCAGGGCTACAAGATGAGGGTGGGTACTTGCTTCAAGAGCCACCTCCATCCGCTCTAGGCTGCCCCATTCATCTGGGATTAGAGCCAAATTAACTAGCTCAGCATGCCGTAGACAAAATTCGTCAATCACCTAACAAGCAAAGTTCAGTTCACAGCCTTATGTGGGTTTGAAAGACATTACTGGGCAAAGAGCAATGGCTCTCTTGACCATGATAGATGTCGAGGACCATCGTGTGTTGTTGTCGAGGAGGGGTTGCAGCCTCTTCCCAATTGACAGGGAATGGGCTGTGGCATTAAGAAACTCCTCTCTGAGCCGGACATTGTTTCGAATCTTAGCAGCAGGCGATAAGATTTTCAAACCAAGTGCAAGTAAATTGCCCTGCTTACGGTTTTAATCAGGTTCCGGAGTCGATCCAGGAGACCATCTACAAACCGGCTGTCGAGCTGGCGGACAGCATCGCCTGTAGCAAGGGCAATTGAATGAGAGAAACAGCTAAAACCATTCATCAGCCATGAAGTAAGCAATAAACGACGAGGATGACACTCACAAGAGCCTACGCTGGTCAGGATCAATTCCAGAGGCACGCACAGATGTAAAGGCCTTCGCCAGCTCCTCAAAGAAGTGCCTGGTTCCACTAGTGTTGGCAGTGGCGCCATCAGAGTTGAAGAAACCTGCCTGAAGAAACGAGTAAGATCCCAGTGTGGTATAAAAGGCCATGAAGTCAGCTCTGTACCTTTTTCGCCACGCCCATCCTCTTGAATGCGTTCAGGATTACTTCTCCTATCTGGATCCCGGTGTGGCCGTCATTCATCGGCGTGAAGGCGATCAGTGCCACCTTAGACTCATAGGGACCTGCAATCTCAACACCGTTGGATCCTTTGCTCACTGGCGCGTCAATCCAATGGGCAACAGTCGCCATGTAAGACCTCCTCATGTTGTCGGTCCAGATATCAAAGGAGCATGATATTTTCCCCACAGCACGCTGACAGAAAGCTTTGAAGTCAACATGAGAGGTGCGTAG